AGCATGTCGCTAGCTTCACTGGGTTGTTGTATATGCATATGTATGTATCTATGTTGAGTTTTTTTTTCTCAATAATCCCACTGGTTGTGGGGTGAAAACCCAAGAGTCCCATCTCCGTCCTTCCCTCTGTTGCCCAGGGGACGAAGATCAAACTTTTTTACCAGCTCATTTCACTGACACTTCCTTCTTCCTAGCTGTAAAACGGAGACGTTCATGTCCTTGGGCCTGAGGTGGGTGATGGCCCACCTCCTCCAACTTGGAGAGTAATGATCCATTATACTGCTGCAACAAGTACCGTGCCTCACTCTGCCCCCCAACGCTTCCCTCACCTCACAATGTGAATGGAGTGCAGTGCAGAACTTTGTTTTCAGCCGTCACCCAATGAGATGACGCAGTGAAGGAACACTGGGGAGTGACCAGGCTGACAGCTGATAACCAGAGATTCCAAATGAAATCCTAGAATCTTTCTTCATCCAATCAGCTGCTGTCTTCCTCCTGACATCTATTGTATATTTCAATTACCAGACTTCAGATTTCTCATTTATTCTTTACACCAACTCTTCTTCACGTCCCTGCTGACTGTCAGTTTGGATCATGTTCTCATCCTGCTGCTTTGACTCACTGGGCAGCATCTCATCAAATGTTTAAATGAGTTTTTTGGAAAACAGATTTCTTAATTGAAGAGACAGTTGCACGTGTCATGCTACAGTACGATGGTACAGTATGATGGAGTCAGAAATGTCATCGTGCACTCATTTCTCCATTCGTTCTCAGGTTTTTAAAGGGTAAAAATGATGGTTAAAATTATATTACATTACATTTATTTTGTCGGGGAAAGGATTATAAATACCTTAATCTGATGACAACAACTCAGCTAATTTACTTGGAAGTTGGAGCCGTCTAAATCATTACCCCAACATCCACCATACCTTAATCTGATGACAACAACTCAGCCAACAGCAGACAACAACACATTACTAGAAATCCACCATTTACCTTTTATGTTTTCAATGACGATCTTGTTGTCAGGTCTGTCTGTTCCCCGTTCCTGCAGTCTGCTGTGTGGGTTAATCATTGTGATCACGCTCACCTGTGTCTCTGTGATTAGTTTCACTGGTGTCACCTGGTGCCCTGGGTATACTGTATATACCTCCCTCCCTCACTCTGTCTTGGTGGGATCATTGTTCTGTAGCTGTTCATGAGTGCTTTGTACCTGTTTGTGAGTTTCCTGTTCTGTGTTTTGGTAGTTTTTTGCCTTGTCCTGTTTTGTTAATTCACACCTTGTGGATAAACCTGCTCTCCTGGTATCACATTTGTGCCCCACCTTCCCATGATTTTGACGTGTAACACTTGTTTTTACAAGGTCAATGCAACTGTTTTCATGTCCAATTGTTGAAGAATTTAATTTAATTCCACCTTAAAACAGATCAAATTTCAACCTGTGGTGTGAATGCAGCGTGAATATTCCTTTGTTCTAAACTGGCTTTGCTGCACTGTCAGTGAATGTATCACACCACAAACAATGGGACTCCACATGCTATTTAGATTTCAGTTTTGCACCTGCAACTAGCATCTGTGAGCACGCTGCACACCCGCTCTGCCGTCTCTTTGAACTGCTGCCATTAGGCAAACGTTACAAACCCATTGTCAGCCAAACAACCAGATGGAAGAACAGCTTTTGCCCCAGAGCGGTGGCTACTCTGAACCAGACCAAATCCAAAACAATATATTCAAAGAAGAAACAACAGCTGCTGCATTTCTCATTGTTCATATCACAACAAAGTATTTCCTTGAATTTAACTCATTGAGAAACAGTTACACGCAGGACGACTGTGTCTGCAGTGGGTTTCAAACCGGTGACCCTTCGATTAAATGTCCTTTCCTTTGTCCGCTGAGTCACAATATGTTAAAGAAACCACTCAAATTGCATACGTTGATTATTTCAGTTTAGTCTGGTTCATAGTATTTGCACTGTTCACCCTTTTGTATTCACGCTTTACTGCAGACCACAGCACTATTGCAATACACTTTCACATGTGCATGCTACTGTAGTACAGGTGTACTCAGTTATTCTGGCATTTTGTATTATTTGCTGGTCATTGTTGATAATTGATGTTTGAACATGTCTCTCCAGTATGCTCATTAGAGTCTGACTGCATGATCTTTCAAAATAAAAGTATCAACTGTATAAAACAGTCATCCCTCGATGGTGTGTTCTATCCCGTGCTCCCTGATCTAATTGCCAGGCTCGGTTGTAGATTTTCTTAAAACCATGAAAATTTCATCAGAGGCAGAAGAACAGTCTGTAACTCGGTTATTCAAAGGAACCATGGTGGTTCTTTCACCCCACAGTAAAAAGGAATTGGATCTGGTTGTTCAGTCAGAGGCATTTGCATGTGGTTACAAAATGAAATTACTGTGCAAGCGAAGTGCTGGCCTGGCAAACTCCTCAGAGTTTCTCCTTCTGCTTCACTTCTTTCCACATAATGCATTTTTATTTCACCTGTAGTGACCCTTTTGAGACTTATGTGCATTATTCACACTGCATTTATACCAAAAGCCAAAAAGCATATTTGTGCCAGTGGGATTTACCAAATTTAATAAGTCCAATAACATATAAGTGGAAATGATAACATAAACTGTGACATAAATCTATTTTAGCTTTCTGAGTTAGGAAAAGGTAAACTTGGTGCATTTAAATAATCATGATTAATTGTGATTAATCAAATACCATAGAAATAACTGCGTTTTGCTTACATTTGAAATAGAACAATAACATGCATTCTGATCTTTATGTGACAGAAATGAAAAAAAATAAATGCATAATAGAAATTAACTATAATAAACTATAATAAACTTAATGTCATCAATTAATGTCATAAAATTAATGTCATCAATGCAGGATGTGACCTGTAGGGGGTGTGAATTTCTTTCAGCCCTGTTTATTTGTACAAAAAAAAACAAAAACACCTGGGACATAATTTGATGAAAAACCACTTAGGAACGTCAGCTCCTGATGAGATCCCTTTGGAACCGAATCGCTGCAGTAAGTTTCCATACATGGGGGGAAACTATAAATCACTGTCAACAAATTCAAGTCCCTTCTGCTTTTGCAAGCATTTTTTGGTTTATTTATTCAAAGTGTAGAGGCAGCCAAAAAATTGTAGGAGCACCGGAACATTTTTATTTTGGAAAAATTCTCATTTGTTATGTAGAAAGTGCTCACGAGCGATCGGCAACGTGGATTTAATGATAAACTGTAGTGGTTCGGGAAATGATTTGAAAATCATAACAAGTCCGTTGACTTCTTTTTTAGTGGGTTTGCAAAACTTTGGAGAAGAGAGTTTGCCTGTAATTGATACATGTGGAATCCTGCAGCTCTGTGAGGGAGGAAGAGCGACTTTGGTCTCTGTAAACAGAACAGTTCAGGATGATGGATGCAACTCGACTTTATTAAGGAACTCTTCTCAACACTACAGGATCAATACGACCCTGGACTGTATACTTACACTCTAACACACTCACACACTCACTGGTACTCTGGGCTTGTTAAACTGGCCGTCACTGATTACAAGGATCTGAGTCAATCCAGGTGAAAACTTGATATAAGTGACTTTTTCATGTACTACTACTGTATGTACTACTACACGTGTGAATTCTGCTCTCCAGGACAAAAGTGAAGAATGAAAAAAAAAAGAATAATTGATTTAAACAAGGAAACATGACCATTAAAGTTAAACTATATAAAACAAAATAAATGTATTTTATTTTATTTTCAACTATAAATGGAATTGGGCTGTATCACCAAACAAACATCAGACCACAGGCTGGACACAAGCTCCCAAACCCTGGCAAAGAACTGAAACTGACAGAAAATGGTCGGCTGCGTGCATTTTTAAAATATAGTTCTGTCTGTGAATCACTTTGTCTTATCATCATGCAGAAGCTTTTTCTTATGTCATATACAGTATCCAAATAGCCTCCAGCCCAAACAGTGAGAAATCCGTATCCAAGTTCTGCCTCTCTGAAGGCTGTAAAAACTGAACTTATTTAGAGGAAGTTTTCTCAGTCCTACATTGATACATTCTACTGACATCAGACACATACTGTTACCACCCGATGTGATGAACTGAGCAGCGTGTACCTCCCTTCACGAGGTAACACGGATAGACAGCAGTCAAATCCAAACGTGTTGTCGATTTCTATGCTTCATTTTACTTTTCTATTAAAGAAATTACCTGTTGTATATTTATAAATATCTTATTTCTTTTGAATGTTCTAAGTAAAGCTGTAGCTTTAGCTGTAAAAAAACTGCAAACTGCCTGGGTCAATAGTTGAGTGGCAGAGGCAGAGAAAGGAGGACGTCTCCTCTCATTATCCTTGAGTGTCCTCTCAAAAGATCACTGGTCAAAATAATCTTTAAATGTCAGCATGTTATGAATTTAAAATCATATAAGCAGAGCTGTCTAAGGATGGAAATGTATAGATAAAAGAATTGGCAATAAAATTATAGAGCAAAAAATAAATAAATAAATAAAGCAGCATATTATTGATAACAAATGCCTTCTAAAAACCCACAGTAATGGACTTGGATCAAGAACATGGATCTGTAAAGGGTTAAAACACCCAGAAACGTGTCGGATCATTTGAATTCTTCTCACTCACCTGCTGCAAGACCTGTGTTGTGAGGAAAAGGTGTTTCTTTTAAATCAATTTTAAATTACAAGGTGCGACTCTGACCATTTCCTACACCAATACAATAATGTTCTGACCTTTCCCTTAACGACTCAAGAATGGTGGGTAATTACTGAGGCTGACTTGAATGGTGAATGAAA